TCAGGAGGATGCTGGACAGCACTGTGGAGGGTGGGGTGGGGAGAGCAAATTGGAACAGTGTTTATGGAGAGCAAATTAGTAATAGCTATCAAAATTCTGAATGTACATTTTACTTTTAGAAATACATTTATGCTTGCTTGTATGCAAAATAAAGTGTTTACTGATATCATGTCATTTCCAAGATATATTTTTTAGTAAAAAAATGCAAGTGGAGAGGAATGTGTATAAGTTGCATGGTATGCATAATATTTTTCTTAAATAAAAAAAATCATTCACATATATATTAAAGAGTATTTTGGGCAACCCCGATATACTTAACTGTGGAAACACAAAGGGAGAAAAATGGGACCACAGGGACTTCCCTGTTGGGCTAGTCACAAAGACTCTGAGCTCTCAATGCAGAGGGCCCAGGATCCATCCCTGGTCAGGGAACTAGATCCCACGTACTGCAACTAAGAGTTCTCATACCACAGCTAAAGATCCCTTATGCCACAATGAAGACCTGGTATAGCCAAATAAATAAATAAAAATAAATATTTAAAGAAATGAGACCACAGTGTTAGGAGGAATGTATAATAGTATGTAGGCTTCACACTAGATGTGAAACATGGGTCTTCCATAGCTCTCTTCTCCAGTAAGTTATATGAGGTCAGATCGAGTCTTTTGCCGTTAGACTCTCAGCACCTAGGACAGGGCCTGTCTCTGTAAACACTGTTGAATGAATACACGAATGAATGAATGAATGATTGAGGAAACTTGACCTTTTTCCTGAGCTTGCAACTGGATGAATACTGTCAGTGGGAACCAGGGAGTTACTGTATCACTGTGTTCACCTAACATTCACTGCAGATGTTTCGAAGATCACAGTTGGGTGGAGGAAAAGTAGAACTAGAACCCATATGGGACTTCCCTGGTGGTCCAGTGGCTAAGACTCCATGCTTCCAATGCAGGGGCCCGGGTTCTATCCCCAGTCAAGGAACTAGATCCTGCATGCTCCAACTAAGAGTCTGCATGCTGCAATTTAAAAAATCCCTCAGCCACAATAAAGTTCGAAGATCTCACATGCTGCAACTAAGACCTGGTGTGCAAAACAAAACAAAGCAAAACAGAACTAGGACCCATATAACCTGGGGCTGTGTGCCTTGATTATTGATTGCTAGAAAAAGCCAGCAATATTATACAAGAGATCTTATTACTTGGCACCACTTGAAAGGGTCATTTACATAGAGAACCTCGTGACCATGTCAGCTTTATGAGTATTTTAGAAAAGATAGATAAATGTTTATAATAAAGAATACGGATAAGCAGACAGTAATAATTAGTACTCCCGCTGGCCAGATAGAGCCACTGGAGAGCCACTGTTGACATTTTTAGATACCTCCTTCCAGTTTTACAGCACACACACATACACACACAAGCACACACTCACTCCTTTTTAAAATAACCCTCTTTCTGTTTCACTTAAAATGGAAAATTTCTCTCCTTGTTTGGTCTTGTTTCTGCCTTTGTCCTTTGCCACACGTGAGCAGTGATTGACTATTCCCCTTCTCTGATGTATTCCCGCACTCTGGATATCCTTACCCTGACACTGTACCATATTGTTTTAGGCTGTAATGCTCTCTTCTGATTATCCTCCATAACACTAAGATGATTTCTTCTATAACAACACAGAGTGACTTTCAGCTCTCTGAAATGTCCCATCCTTTTCCTTTGTGCCTTCTTCTGGACTTTTGTCTGCCTTGAAGGTCACCCCAAACCCTGATTTCTGTTACCATTTAGTTCTTTTGTGTTCTTCAAACCTCAGCTGTCAAATATCATTTCCACAAAGAAGGCCTACATAGCCACTCGTTCAGTTAGATGCCGCTCCTCTGCATATTTGTTAGACCTTGTCCGGACCTCAGTGTCTTCGTGTGTCCATTGCATACTGTAATCTTTTGCTTCCTTATCTGTTTCTCCTACTTAGACTGTAAACTAAAGTAAGGGAACAGTGTCTTATTCAACCTGAGTTTCCTGGAAGCGAGTGATAGGACTGACCCCATGGTAGGTGTTCAACAAAGGCAGGTGGATGGAACATAAGCGTGACATGCGTACAACCCTCCGTAATGTCCCCGAGGGCTTTCAAACGCTTTATCCTGTTCAACTGGCTTTTCCTGGTATTTCCATGTAGGTGGAGAGAGCACATCTTATGAGCCACCTTTGGCTATTCTCTACCCATTCATCACTCCCTCTCATGGGAGCAGGGAAGGGGACATCTATCTGATTAGTGGTTTGAAAAGAGTAATCTGGACATGCTCAGCTCAACATAGCTCTCCTATTTTCTTCTGGGAGTGAGCTATCCACCCAGAGTCTGAGGCCTCCTTTACTCCTTAAGCCCCAAGACTTTATCTGACATCGTCTTCCGGCACTTGGCTGCCTGTCCCAGCCCAGCCTGGCCTGGAACTGAATGAATCATCTGCCTCACACTTGGGTTCGGGTGGCAGACCTTCTTTATTTCTCATTTTACTCTGTTTTCTAAGCTGCCCTCTTTCAAGAGTAAAGGTAACAATTCTGGTCTCTGCCTTTCATTTTGTCTTTTTTTCCCCTACTTATTTAGGGCTTGGATGATGAAGAGACATAATGTTTATTGCGGTGCCCTCGGCAATGTCAACAGGCAGTTTAATTATTGCTCTCATTTAATTGATGAAGAGACAGATTCTCAGGGGTCCAAGGACAGGTCTACAGTCATGGCCTTGCAGAGACTGGGTATCAGGTCCTCTGATTCTCCAAATTGTTCTCGCTTGCTTTGAGCTCAGTATTTTTTACTTCCCTTCCACTATCTGGACCACAAACTATGGCCAGAATTCCCACACTGGATGAAAGGGGAAACTCAGGAATCTTAAAGCCCCTTCCGAGTCTGAGTCTATAACTCATCTCCTTGGCTGGCACATGACTGTCTACGGCTTTACTACCCATCCCCAGGGCGCACATGTGACGTGTTCGGTACATGTATGCTTGCCACCAGCCTGGCGGTTTAGCATGGGAGGCTCTCGGAACAGAAACAGGCTGTGTAAACACTCACTGGAGATGGCTACAGAGCGGCAGTGAAGTCATGTCTTCAGTATGGGAAGCGCTGAGCAGTGGTTTTCTCAAGTCGCACCCATCAGCGCAGGTCAGGGCACCATCAATCACATCATCCTCGGAAACGAAGATTGCCGACCCAAGCACAAGGGTAGAGGCTGGTGGGCTGCCTGACCACTGGCTCCATCCCCTGCTTCTGGGGGAGCCGAGCCAGGCTTTCTGTTACACTGTGCACTTTCTCAACCAAACTCAGCTTCGGAAAACAGTTTCCCTTTACTTTTTATGTGTTTTCTGGGCTTTCAAGCCCATGGGTATTTTGAGGGAAACGTAGTCCATATGCTTCTGATTTACTTACATTAAACTTGCCAGAAGTTTCTTTTGTAAAATCTATCTCACGTCTGGGAAACCTTTTCAGCCTGTTTTTTTAAAAAGCCTTTTAGCCTGAATCTTCACACTCAAAAGGAAGCAGAGAATTGAAACAATTATTAGGATATAATTGAGACCAGAAAACCCTCCTTGCCTTTGTTACCTGGGCATTTCTGGGTAAAGGTAAAGCTGGAAAGCGTCTGCTATAGAGATAATTGCCCTAGTTATCCACTTCACATTTCATGTGTGGACACACTCTTTAAAGACTAACATCTTTCTTCAAAGCACCACGTGCAAGGTTTTGGTTTTCTAGTTAAGTTAATCTTGGCAAAGTGTCCCTGGGTCTGTTTCCTATTCAGAAATCTCTGAATTTGAGTAGGTTATAAATTTGATAAAACACTTTTATTTATTTATTCTTTGCTTGGAGAAAAGAGTGACATAAATTTAAGGATAAATAAATGTACATAAAACTTTCAAACGATACCACTAACTTTCAGATGATAAGTATTATTATTTTTATTAGCAATAAATGTCAAAACACTGAATAAGTGGTTGGGAGAGTTGAAGAGGTGGGAGAAAGAATATATTAAGAGAGAAACAGGGACAATCTGCTTAAGAAACAGGGAAAGCCACTTAGAGCCAACCCGCCCAAAATACACATCAGTTTAAGAAGCAAAAATTCTGTTTTTATAGTCCTCTAAAGTCCTAACCTAGGAGATTGAATGGAAGTCAAATGCTGGTGTCAAGTGCTGGGATCCTCTAAAAAACATAACAGAGTCTCCCCTTCCACTCTCCCAGCAGGGCTGGCATTATCACATCGTTTAGGTATACCTTTTGGCAATTTTGAGCTGAATTGCCAGTTTTTCCTTTAAACTTTATAACATCTTGATAAGGCTTTGATTTTGGAGTCTCATTTCATACTTTTTTCCCTTTTGCAACATTGAATGTGTGTTTTCACTGAATGGTGTTTATGCTGAAATGTTCCAGAAATTACAACTAGTGAAAGTAGAGTAGCCCTGTGATAATAAAGGTGCAATGTGAAATGTTTTCCTGGGACAGCTGTTTTGACGTAGTGAAGTAACATGTTCTTGAATTCCTAACAGAGGCACTTCCTATGCATTGCTAAACTCAAATCCTCTTTAAAGAATAATTCCAGGAAAAGGAAAAATGAAAAGTCTTGGGAAAGCACACAGACTTTAAAAAAAGTTTTTTATTGAGGTATAGTTGATTTACAATGTTGTGTGAGTTTCAGGTGTACCATAAATTGACTCTGTTATACATGTATCCACTCTTTTTTTTACATTTTTCCCCCATATAGGCCATTATCGACTATTGAGCAGAGTTCACTCTGCTATACAGTAGGTCCTTATTAGTTGTCTATTTTATGTATAATAGTGAAGAGCATAGACTTTTCAAGTGGGAGCATAGATTTCCAATCAGACCCTGCCTTTTAACTTCTGCAGTGCACAGAATTCCCTAAAAGAGTGGAGATATTGGGAATGATGAGGGGAGGAGAATGACAAAGGAGTTGAATTCCGGAATGTCTTTGTTCCCAGCGGAACTCCTTGCTGTTGGTCTCTTCCTTTGAGCAAGGACTTCCAGCGGCCTTAAGGCTATGGCCATATCCATCATTGTCCCTGTTCTTCTAAGTCTTCTGAAAAAAAAAAAAATCCTGCACTTTGGATCAACAAAGGGCCGTGGTGATGATATAGTCGAACATTCTCATTTTATACCTGAAGGTGCTGAGACCTAGGCCTGTGAAGTGGCCTCCATTCTCTGTAATGGTCTACATGGGCTTAATGTCCATGGTCCCCCAGCTGGTGAGTGGCTGATCTCAGACTCAAACCGAAGTTTGCTGACTTCCATTCCAGAGCCTTTTCCATCGCAGCAAGTGTCAAGATGTCATTTGTCCTCAGAATATACGTAAGGTGCTCAGAATCATACAATATTCATGGGCTTTTTAATTTGTTATTTGGACAGTTAAAATCTTACAAACGTGAAAGTTCAGGTAACTATGAATCACTAGATATTGCTTCATAATATTTCAACCTGAAATTTTGTATGTTGAGCTGGTATAAAATCAGAGATTACGCTCCTGTTCCCAAGAGCATACTACTTTTCTTGCCTACTTAAAAGGGTTTATTTTTAAATAAGAGAAACTTTTTTCCCCCCACCCTAATTAAACCAGATAGAAACTAGATGAAATCTCAACTTTAATGTTTTCCCCCGGAATTATGCCCTGCCTTATCTTTGCCTCACCAAAACACAATCTGTGAATCAGCAGGTTCTAAACTTGGGTCAGTTACTCCCTATCTGGGTGAATTTGTACATTTGGTTTACACTCCCTGGGCATCCATGTCATTATCCAAGGGAAGCTACTCTAGGATTAAACAGACAGTTTCTTTCTGGCATTATATGATCATACATGAAGCAGATAGTTTTTGTTTGTTCATTTCTTGAGGAAAGTACTAAAAAAAAAAGTTTTAGTAGCTAATCCAGAATACTGGTGACTCCCGTTTTTTACATAGGAGAAGAGAAACAATTGCTACCGAAAAGTTGATTACAACATTTTCTGAAAAACTTTACCGTGTGGTACGTGCTTATACTCATGTCAGACTATTGTTCTCTGATGGTGCAACACGAAATATTTTCCTGGGACAGCTGTTTTGACATAGTGAACTAACTAACATGTTCTTGAATTCCTGACACAGGCACTTCCTATGCATTGCTAAACTCATTTAATGCTCTTTAAAGAGTAATTCCAGATTGATTCCATATCCAGGGCTGGATGAAAAGTGTGCATAGACATTGTCACCAGGCATCTTAGGTACAAGAGACAAGATATTCAGCTGCACGCCATCAGGCAAACCACAGTTCTGAACGTAATACAGAGCAATGTCACTTTCTTGAAACAAAAAATCACCACTGGCTTCTTAGCGTGGTAGTAAAGGCATCATGGTTTTAGGTCACTTCTGCACATCACTGTGACCTAGTTTTCATTATTCAGTGGTTACATTTGTGTACATTTTATTGTGTGTGAGTTAGATCTGGAAGAGCAGTTTGTGGTTGTGTTTCTATTTGTCAGAATCTCTTGCACAATTGCCAGCCCTCTTCCTTAGCTGACAGATCTCTGTTTTGGGTACTTTCTTATGAGAACAAACTGCTTAAACTAAGGTCAGACAATTTCCTGATGTGCTTGAATGGAAATTGAAAATTAAAACTTCAGAGCAAGGAAATGCCAAAGGTCAGAAAAGTACAAATTCAAAATCAGGTCCTAAAGTTTCTGATTGTTCTGGCAAGAAATGACAACTGGAATCAGACAATGAAATTTCAGTGGGAAAAAATAAGCAGAAGGTGATACTTCACTTGTGGCTGAGAACCTTTGGACAACTCTCCTCTGCTTCCTCACTGTAGAGGAGTTTGTCCTCTTTTAAAGCCTTTCAACACACTCTGGTCTTCTCTGAAGCTTTTTTGGGAGAGTAAAAAAAAATACAAGTTTCAGAGTCAGATGGGCTTCAACTTCCAGCTTATCTACATCTTAACTCCACGACTTTGAGTATGTTAACCTCTCTGAGCCTTGGTTTCTTTGTTATTGCTTGTTGTTCAGTCGCTAAGTCGTGTCTGACTCTTTGCATCCCTAGGGACTGCAGCACACCAGGCTTCCCTGTCCTTCACTGTCTCCTGGAATTTACTCAAGCTCATGTCCACTGAGTTGGTGATGCCATCCAGCCTTCTCATCTTCTGATACCCCCTTCTTTTCCTGCCCTCAATTTTTCCCAGCATCAGGGTCTTTGGTTTCTTTACCTTTCAAAAAATAAAGGCAAGGATTCTGATTCTTCAGCATAATATGAAGAATCAATGATACAATGTAGAAGTGACTGTTGTTCTTCCCACATAGTAGATGTTCAGCAAATGTTACTTCTTAATTTCTGTATCTGCCTATGTAAGACATCCAGATATAGTTTCACCTTCCTAGTCTTTTTTTTTTTTTTTAATTGAAGTATAGTTGCTTTACAATGTTATGTTAGTTTCTGCCCTGCAGCAAAGTAAATCAGCCACACATAATGTGTATCTTCTCTTTGGATTTCCTGCCCATTCAGATCACCACAGAGCATTGAGCAGAGTTCCCTGTGCTATGCAGTCCTCATTGGTTATCGATTTTTCACATAGTAGTGTGCGGACGCCAGTCCTAATCTCCCACAAGTCTCCCTTTCTGTATTTGGATGTTGGGCTGCACAATGTTTCAGAGCATTGTTTAAAGAGAGACAAGGGTCTCTGGCACAGTATAAGAGGATCTTTGCCTGTGACATGGTTCCTGTGGACCCTAATCTTCCAAACATCTGATCCTGCATGGTTTCTGTGATTTCTTTCCCTTAGTTAATCTCCTGGGATTTGTCACCTTTCTTGCCTAAACTGATGTACCTATGAAGCCTCTCTGAAGCCTGGCTGGTCCCCTTCCCTTCCAATCTGAGTTTCAGTATCATCTCAAAGCTCTCTAGTTATTTCTGACATCATAATTATAGCTAATAGTAGTTTGAGGCTTACCAGGTGTGAGGCATTGTGCTAAGTGCATGATGCCACTTAGACTCGCTGAACGTGATCTCATAACAACTCAAATGAAGAAGATGCTTCTATTATCCATCTGATAGCCATGTACCTGAGGCTTGAAGAGGTTGAGAGGTGGGCTGAAACAATGGCAGGACGAGGCTTTGAATCCAGGACTAGAAGACGTCAAAACCAGTGCTTAGCTACTGCGCTGGAGAGTTTTCCTAGTACCACCTGGCCGCCGGACTCGCCCGATGCAGTTGGGACAGAACTGGAGGGCGTGAACACTCCTTCCTCAGGGGAAAATGTTGATAACAGAAGCCACTCAGCTGAAACATTAAATGGTGATGAACAGGATGCAGTTAAGCCTGTAACCTGTTATGATCACCCGAAGGATCATTTGGCAATGGGAACTCTTCCCAATGAGCTGTTCAGATGGTGTAGGTGTCCATGTTTGATACCCATAATGTCTGTGTTTATCATTACAGTTGGGTGAGCAGGAAGTATCTCTGAGTGTCTTCAGAATGAACAATTGGGGGAGTCTGAGTGACCGTGCAGCCTCTCACTCTGTAGGCTTCTTGCACACACTAAGGCTTTTTTTTTTTCCACTTTATTTTTTTAATTGAAGGATAGTTGCTTTACAAAATTTTGTGGTTTCTGTCATACATCAACAGAGGATGTCATACATCCTGTACAGAGGCACGTCAATAGATCCAGCCATAGGTACCCCTGTATCCCCTCCCTCCTCAGCCTCCCCCTGAACCTCCCCCCATCTCCCTCCCCATCCCACCCTTCTAGATTGTCACAGAGCCCCTGTTTGAGTTCCCTGGGTCATGCACCAAATTCCCGTTGGCTGTCTACTTTACATGTGGCAGTGTAAATTTCCATGTTACTCTCTGTATACATCTCACCCTCTCCCTTCTCCCCTCCCCCTGTGCCCACAGGTCTGTTCTATATGTCTGTTTCTCCAGAAACAGAAAACAAATTGCCCTGAAAATAAATTCATCAGTACCATCTTTCCAGATTCTGTATATATGCGTCAGTATACGATGTTTATACTTCTCTTTCTGACTTACTTCACTCTGTGTAATAGGTGCCGTGGAGCTCTTAATTCAATGGCTGTGTCCATCCTTTCAGAGCAAGAGAGCCTTTAGAAAGAGACTGTCTGCTGGTAGAGTTGATGACAAGCGGGAGAGCTCCTTTCCATTCCGGTGCTCTGCGTGGTGACATCACCTCCTTATATTCTGCAGCTCTGGGGGAAGGGGTGCAACATGGAGGTGGGCTTGGTAGATTTTGAGTGCCAGCTTAGAAATAACTCAGGGAGGCAAGGCACCTGAGTAAACAGCCTGTGCTTACAAAAAAGCAAAGCTAGGAGTTTTTATAGTTTCTTTGGAGAGCAGGTACTTAGAGTCCCCTCTCCCATTTTGATTACCAAGGCAAAGAAAGCAGCACAGCCCCGGTTTTCTGGGCAATTTTGACCTAGCCAAAGATACAACCAAAGGGGTGCTTGGGCTTCCCCGGCGGCTCAGATGGTGAAGAATCTGTCTGCAATGTGGGAGACCCAGGTTTGATCCCTGGGTTGGGAAGATCCCCTGGAGAAGGGAATGGCTTCCCACTCTGGTATTCTTGCCTGGAGAATCCCATGGACAGAGAAGGCTGGAGGGCTACAGTCATGGGATTGCAAAGAGTTGGACTTGGCTGAGTGACTGACACTTTCAAAGGGGTGTTTAATTTGGAATTAGACGAGGCTGAGTTTGAATTCCCATCTGGTTAATTTTTAGGAATGTGATCTTTGGCAATTTAGTAATCTCTTTGTGTTCCCCCAACTTTACAGTGGGGACAGTCACATGGCAGCAATTGAAAACAGGCAGGCCCCAAACAACTCCTCTTGCTGAATGGTGGATGTCTGTGTCTCTTCCTCTCAGATCTGAGTGGATCCCGTGGCTGTTCCAGTCAACAGAATATGACAGAAGTGGTGTCAAATAGTTCTGAGGCTCCTCCCACTCAATCTCTGCCTGGTGTCTTGGGACACTTATTCTGGTGGGGAGACAATTCCAGTATAAGAGGTCCAATTACCCTGGAGGGCCACGTCTATAGATCCTGTTGAGCAACCAGCCAACAGCAGCATCCAGGGTCAGCCATCGGTGTGAGCCATCTAGGACGTCCAGTCTAGTTGAGCCCGTAGATGGTCACAGCATGGCCAGCATCTGACTACAACTATGTGAAAAGCCCCGTATGAGAACTGCCCAGACACGCCACTTGCAGATTCCTGACTCATAAAACTAAGAGAAAAATCAAATTGTCGTTTTACTCCACTAAGTACTGGAATGATCTGTAATGCAGGATCGTTAACCAGGGCACGTAGCAGCACTGAAGGGTCACT